GAACGATCAATGTGTGCTTGATTTGCGTGAGTGTTATCTGAGGACTTGGAGACGTAACATATTGAGTGTCTTTTGAGGTCAACACCTACCCGCATTAATACAGAGTGCCATTACAAAGGTCAAGTGTTTCATCTCTTCTCTAAAATGCAAATGTATCGATTTCAATCTACACATATAGTGAATGCGATTGCCTGGCCAACTGGTTCCTATCAGACAATTGCCTTCGGGACCTGTAGTATTGATCGCAACCCCAGGGGCTTAATCACTCAATTAATTTTGCTTTATATAGCATGTTTCATGCAAAACAAGTTGGAATGTACTTTTAAGAGCAAATAAAAAAGGAATGTGACATGAATAAATACAGTCCATCTCCCTACCTCCACATCCAGCTCCACATCTCAAAAAAAGCCTAGAACAGATTTTGTATTTCATATTTTGTCTTTTTATTATTTCTCTTTTATCTGTTTTGGGTTTTCAAACCAAATTATGACGTGTATGGTAAGTTTAGGATTAAGGCAGGTTTAGGCTTAGTCTGATCACTATAATGAATTTATTAGCATTCTACGAAACCTGAATTTGTAGTAGAATAGCCATTAATACAGGACACGAAAGAAAACAACAGGAAAATGCATTAAACTGAGAACAAGAGGCACTTTTTTTACAATAATGATTGTGGGAGTGAAACAAGTTAACTAGTCCTGTTTTTGACATTAATATCCTGGCGTCTTTCAAAAACAGTAATCCGTAGCTCCCTGCAATTAAATGAATTAGATGGGGTGAATGACCTCTCATTTGGAACCTTTCTTATTTTGGGTTACTTCTCACAGTCCTTTCCCACTATTGCAAGCGTGCGTTCCTGTCTGGCTGCTTGCTCCTACAGTCTGTGTACTGCTCCACAGTGTCTACAGAGAGGGCATAGCTGGAATTCCTAGATGACTTGCATTCTTCAACCCGATGCAACAAAGTCCTTTGTAACTCAAGATGTGTAGTAAATTGTTTCCTAGGATTTTCTCCAGCTCCAGCATAGATGTAACAAAGCTTCTCATGCCAAAGGACTTTGCTCAGTCTGTTTAGAGCTGTTAGCTCAAATGCTAATGAACAAAAACCTGACATTGTTTGTACACCTGGCAGTGTAGTGTAAGCTGTCTTGTGACGGTATGACTGAATGCTGATTCTGTTCCTGTCATCACTGATCAAGGACACGTTTTAATACGTGTGATGCGTTGTCTAAAAATGGGGTTGAAATATATGCAGAGTTTTGAACATGTGGAGAGCTCCTGGTGTATTTCGTGTGTATTCTGGTAATTTGCCGTGTGGAGCTGCAGGTAGAAAGACACTGCAGTGACAACAGGCCGCCACTAGAGACCGCTACTGTAGCAGGGGAAGGACTTTGTTAATTGTTTACTTGTTAATTGCTGGTAACCATAGAGAATGTGTTTTCACATGGGGTTGTGTTATTATAAGAGGGTATCCTAAAGGAGGCAGACAGAGAGGTGGAGCTACCCATTTCCAATAGAAGTGTTTCCTATGACCAGGGCTCAAAGACAGCTATGTTGTTTTTTCTTTCCTTAAGAGTCCTTTGTTTTTCTTCCACTTTCAAGCGCAGCGTCTTGTTAACAACCTGTGTTCTAGATTTCCGTTAATGATTCAACAAAGTGTGAAGGGTTCCGTGTTGATGGAAACCAAAGCCACACTGCCTGGACAGGGAACCTTCTGACGGAGGCTTTGGCCTCGTTGTTTCAAGTTGTAAAATGACGTCATCTTTCAAGGCCCACACTCACACTGGCGATGGGATCGGCCATTTGCATTTATCATTTTCAAAAATGTGTAAATAAATGGAACATTAAAGAACGACACATTCTGCTCGATTTCGGTTGATTTTCAGTCTAATTTTGCTTCCATCTGCTATAATATTTTATAGCTTTTATTAATGTTATTTTGCTTATAAAATATGAGAAGGCAACCATACTGGTTTTTGTTAATCGGTTATGTCTTTGACTCTGATCCACCTAATTGGCCAACTGGCTTTGACAGAATCCCGAAATAGATTTGTTTGTTTTTACATTGCAAGTTTGTCACTGAAAGAATCTCATCTGGCTAGCGATAATAATCTAGGAAGTGTGTGCCTTAGGTTTAGGCACTGTGGGAGGCATAGTCCGATTTAAAACAATGGACATTTTCTAATGCTGTTCTGTGGGGGGAGCCATGTCAGATCTTGTACTCCCTTGAGGAGAGAGAGCAGATTTGGCTCCTGATAAAGTGAACTAAACAGAATCTGGTGCCTGCCATTGTGCCTGACCTTCTTTAGACTCAGAACTCTGACCTCCAGGAGACCCCTGCAGTCTCAGTTTGAGCTCAGGAAGCAGCATGGTGATCCAACAGGAGGATATCCTTATTTTTCCCTCTGCGTCTTGTTTGTGTTGCGCTGTGAACGGTTGGAAGAAGACAGCGGCAAAGCTGCAGGAGGAGAATCAAAAAATAGATCTTGGCGAGTGTTCCTCAGGCATATAAATCAGAGTAAGGTTTCCTGAAGGTCGTCCTGTTAAAACATTATTACAATAGGAGCTGGTGTGTAGGTGGGAAACAAGCTGAAGGAAGAAAAGGACGGAGACCGCATTTACTGCTGCTATCTGGATTGTTGTGTACTTTTTATTTGACCCCTGCCAGATGAAAGAAGTGTAAAATAATTTGAAAAACCTGCAATTCATGACGTAGAAGTGGGAGATGCACAGTCTCAGGTAGGCAGGGGTTAAGGCGGGTCAGTGGAGAAAGGTAGGTGATGGATAGTTATAAGATCTGCCTTCTCTTGATAGTGTGGGAGCAGCACGGCGGGGGGGAGTGTTAACTGCAGAGGGAATGGGAGTCGCAGTCAGGGCAGCACAGTCCAATTTCACACTTCACTGGCCCCCCAGACTGGGAGAGACCTTGAGCTGTGAGTGAAGCCAGCCTCCATGTGACCTTGAAGCAGGAACACCTGGGGTTTCAGTCACAAGCCATTACTGCTCAGCACACCTGCTTGCCTGTTTTGTGCATCCCAGAATGCTCAGGCAACGTAGTGTGATCAATCTGATCCTGTGCTTGCGTATGGCTTTCTCCTTACCTGGGTTATTCGTTGTGCTTCAGCATCCCTCTTACAGCAGTTGTGTACATCATTAAATTTACTCTCCTGTCACTCTCGCAGTTCTGAGGAGTGTAGTCTCCAGCTTCTTTTCATAGTGCTTTAACCATTTGAAAGGAGAATACAAACGATCCATTTCTTCAGCGCTGTACACAAACCGCTGGCCTTGACGGTTTTGTTCGGCAGTTGTACAAACGCGTTTTTAGTGATCGGTAGCTGCTGAATGTGTTGCTTTTACAAGAGCTGATTTAAATTCTGTTCCTTTTCTCTTATTTTTGTCCATGCACCCACAGGTCAAAAATGTGGAAGATGAAAAGAGTATTCATGACGCCCCAACGGTAGTGCTGTCTGAGAAAATGAGCTCTCCTCTGAATGCTGTCAACAGTGTCAAAAGTGTCAGCACCTACCCAACCAAAGCAGACAGCTGCTTCAGCTCTGGGACCTACAACAACCACGAGTGAGTAATGAGGCAGTGATTAGATGGAACTTTGAAGGGTTCTGACTGGGGGTGACGTCAGGGCTCCGAGAATTGCCTTGTTCCATGACCTTTTCATTAGTTCTGAATTAACTGTATGAGCTTTACTCACTACCAGGAAGGGGACATGTCCAAATCATGTGTGATGGGTTAGCATATGTAATTGCATCACAGTTCTCAGCCCTTAAAGTTTCATTGTGTTTTAGCGTTTAGTGTTTGTCAAAAAACTGAATTTTAGAGCACCCGCACACTGAATGATTCAACAAATACAGGATCCGATTCAATTAATGTTCCTTTTTTGGGTGTGAATAGCATTTTCCCATAGGATCTGAAAGCACTTTACATCTAGGAGGAGATCCATTCTTATCTGTCACTGAAGTGGAGCCCCCACCTGGCTGGTGAGAAATTCACCAAATTCGCCAAATGAGTTAAGGGGGAACTTCAGGAAGGCCAGGTTGTGTAAAGCTAGAATGGAATCTCTGATCAACTAGTCAGATCACCGTTTGGATCACTGTATGTCATTACTTAGTTGTAACCAGGATTCTCGGCTGCATTGCATGGTCGACCTCATGGGCATTGGGGCTGGGTGGATTTGAGAAGGCCGGGACAGTGTCAGTTTTGCAGGGAAGAGCTTGCAGCTCCTCCCTGGCTGTATCCAAGGGCTCGCAGTGTCAGCGAGAGCGGTGTCTGCCCTCCCTCTGATGACTGCTGGGTCGTGAGAGCTGTCAGCTTGCAGTGAGCTTGCAGGGCCATTAGAACGCGCACACATGCCATCCTCATTTCTCCTCTGTGTGGTACCGCGGTATTGATGGAGCAGGGGACCTTGTCCCTCTCCACTGCTGCTCAGTCGTCGTGTTTTGGGATCATTTTCTAACTTCAGCTACACGGACACTCCTGCCAGCCGGCCCTCGGACGGGCCGTCCCGCGGAGTGAGCTCCAGCCCCTCGGAGGAGGCGGGAGGGGTGCGGAGGCCCTCTGCCTGGAGGGGGAGGAAGAGGCGGAGGAACCCGGAGCTGGATGAGTCGCAGTACGAGACGGATTATACCACTGGCGGGGAGACGTGTGGGGAGCTCGACGAGGACCAGTGGAAGAGGTAAGTCTGGTGCGGGGACCTCTGGCTGCTGGGACGGGCCTCTCGATACTTCTACCAAGACTTCTGGACATGTCCTAGTCTGACCTCTGAGAAAATGGCTGGTCATTTATTCAGCCAGTGTTACAGCTGGCCCATTCGCAGCTTCAGTCTGCAAATCTATGCACAGCTGTAGAAAATTTTACTTTCTGTAACACTTTGACTTCACTGAAGAATTTATCATGCTGTTTTAATTCACTCAAGTCGAAACATCCATTTAAGGACTGTGGGGATGCAAATGTTTCTGGGGGTTTGATGAGATGTCCACAGGAATGCATTCTTTCAGAACTGTGACCTTAGCTAGAGTGTCTCAGAAGGC